ACAGGCAGATTATGTCATTTAATGTTAAAGATGAAATTCCAGATCCTGAAACAAAGGTTGCTGGAAAATCTCTTTCCTGGAAAATTGTGACTGAGCTGAAACTGGCCTGCCTATCACTTTTACTCATTGATCTGATGCCTGCCTTTGGCAGCCACACAATAAAGGTACCCCACTTCCACCAGCCAGCCCTTCTTGAAGACTTGCAGCCCATCCTCCTCCATCCTCTCTCCTCCATCCTCCATCCTCTCTCCTAGGCTAAACACGCTAGGGCCAGGATTTCTAGGCCACTCACCATAATGGTCCCCCTCCTCAAGGGAACCTCAATTGCTCAGCATCCTCTTGAAATCTATTGCCTAGAGCACAGTTTTTACGGCTTGGCATATCCTTGGAGCTCCATAACTTGAAATGAACAAATGAAGTAGTCTACAAACGCCACGAAACACCAGAACTACTCTCCCCTTCCTCTATACTTTGTACTTTTCCTAATGCGGCCTGGGCTTATATTAGCTCCTCCAACAGAGATTTCCACATGCCTGTCAGCTTGGGTGTGCAGGGGTGTCCCCTGGGAACAAGGCTGGAGGACCCACTGAGTGACAATGAATTTGGTTCTGACAATGAACTCAGTAGCATAACAGAAAACACTCTAGTCTAGCGGTTCTCAACTTGTGGGTCACGACCCCTTTGGCGGTCAAACAACCCTTTCACAGGGGTCGCCTAAGACCATCCTGCATATCAGATATTTACACTACGATTCATAACAGTAGCAACATTACAGTTATGAAGTAGCAACGAAAATAATTTTACGGTTGGGTCACAACATGAGGAACTGTATTTAAAGGGCCAGAAGGTTGAGAACCACTGCTCTAGTCATGTAGTAAACACTCTAGTCATGCAGCAAAAGAAGCTTGTCAGTGACAGATTTGAAAGGTCCAACTTCCCTTAATAAATCTTGACTGTGCATTAAGTGTAGTCATTAGTGCTGACCAACAAATATTTCCTCCCAGGTGCATGGTAGACATGCACTTCCCTGCCCCTTTGAAGTTAGGAGTGGTCATGTGACTTGCTTTAGCCAATGAAATGTGAGTGAAAGAGCCAGTGCACAAGTCACTAAAGTTCCCTTTGGTGATCATGAAGCACAGAGATGGAGCCTCCCTCAGTAAAGGTGACAATTCAGGTTTCTTTCTCAGTAAAAGTGAGAATAAACCTTAACCCTTTTAAGTCACTGAGATTTTGTTTCATATTGTTACTGTAGCAGACCCTAGCCTATCCTGACTAATTCTGCATTACTGACACAGTAACTAGAATACTCAGACCTTATGTCCTCTGGATCCACCAAATCATAGCTTTCACATTTCTCTTCTCCATGCTTCTAATATGCAAGATGAAAAAGCATCTTTTAGTGGGCATGCACCTGCTACACCAAGCAGCCCAGATGAGCTCCACCTGCCAACAGTAGGGGAGATGTGTTATCTGTTCACATCAGCAATACTCTAAAGGAAGTCACAATGGAAACCTTTTTTTCTTCCCATAGGAAAATAAATTGTTTGTCTGATTCAAAGCCCTCTAAGATTATCACTGCTGCCCAGAGAATGAGGGGTACATGGGGGAGACTTAAGGATGAATGAAAGAATCTGGGACTAATTTAGGAGGGATGAAAACCTGAATCAGAATCACCTGAAGGCTTGTTAAAACTCCTGTTCCAGGGTCCTACTCCAGAGTCTCTGATTCAGGAAGTCTGGGGTGGGCTCAAGAATTTGCCTGTCTGTGTAACAAGTTCTGGTTCCGAGACCACACTTTGAAAACCACGGCTCTAGAAGGATTCCCACCAAGAAACCAGGGTGAAGGCTTTGTGAGTGGAGTCAATGTGGCCTTCTTCTCTTTGAAGAAGAAAAAAGAGCCAATTTTCCTTTTCCACTCAACATAATCCGAGAGCTGATGTGTGAAGACATAAATGATCCTCACCTTTCTTTCCTCCCCACATAACACACTACACAACAAAATCAAGCTCCCGTGTAAAAGACTGTAACAGTCATCTTATTTGTTGGCACTTTTTAAAAATGGTTTCATGCCTCACTCGCCCTCCAGAGCTCCACCAGGAAGTAAATCCGAGTGTGTTTCAGGAGGAAACCATTTAGAATGGGCTGCAGCCTTCGTCTCCAACCTTATCTCCACACTCCTCTTCCCAAACCTCCACTACACATCAGATTTTCTCACCCTCTGACCCCACCAAGACTGGTCACACTTCCCTCAGCTGTGAACCCCCCTCATACACGTGCACACTGATCCTTACTTATCTAAATCCTCCCCCTTCCTCCTGTTTAGGGCCAGACACTTCAAGAAAGTCTTCCCTCTCTTTCATCCCCATCACAGACAATCCGTCATCACGTCCTGTCAATGTTACCTCCCAAGTATCTCCAGAATCCATCTGGTGCTCTTCAGTTTCCACTCTAACTCAGCCTGTACAGACCCCTCTCTCCACTCTCCCTCTCTGCCCTCAAGGGCTTTGCCCAGGTTGTTCACCTGGACTGGGCAGGTCTCAATTTAAACAGCATACCTTCCCCGGATGGAGAGGCCTTCCATGATCCCTAAGCCAGGTTAGAACCGTCTTTTATCAACTCCCATTGAACCCTTTGTTTCCTCGGTCATGAACACTGGTCACATTTGTGATCTTCCGTTTGATCATCTATCTTCCCTATTCAGCTGTAAGTTCTTCACAGACAGGACCACATGTGCCTTACGTGCTGCTGTAACTGCAGAGTCTGGCACAGCCCCTGACACAATGCGGGCATTCAGTAAGTACTTCATGAGTAAGTGCAGGGATCACCACATCAGGGCATAGGAATCCTCCCTCCTCTCAATGCCCAAAGCACTTTCTGCCTCCTTGAAGGAGTGTCTGGCCACACCGGTGCACCCCCACCACTCCAGATAAACAAGTACTCCTTATGACAGCCAGGAAATAGACTCTACAGCGGAACAGTGACCCTTGAAAAGAACATCTTTTCCTTGGAAACTGAAAGGAATTGAGATTAGCTACAGAGATATTTTGGTAGAATAAAAGAGGCTACCTTCTCAGAAGTAATCGGGGGACAAAGTCTTTGTTAACAAGAGGAAGAGGAGGTATGTGTGACGGAAGTATTCAGTGATAAAAGTCTGCATTTTTCTAGAAGTTGGTAACTTCCCAATTTAAGCATTCTGATGGATTCCCTATCCAGACCTTTAATAATGACAGGTGCCCATGTCTCCAGGATGCCTAAGAAATGGGGCTGAACCCAGTGACCTCTCAAGAGCTTCTGACCTCCAGGGTTCTATAAACAAATTCATTCCAAGCTGGAATTTGTAGAATCCACATTTGGGCTGTCTTTACACAGCAATTCTTTCTCAAATTAGAAGACAAGATAGTCTTTATCTTCCACTCATTCTCTAATAGTAGTAATGCTTTCTAAGTCAGACCCCAACCCCACAGTTTGGCCATCATGTCCCCTAGGCCACCAGCATGAAGATAATTTGGCAAGCAGCATCTCACTAGGGCAAGGTTAGACCTGACTAAAGAGATCAAGCTAGAATGACATCTGGCTTTTCTACTTCTAGTCATGCAACTTTGGGCAAGTGGCTATTTCTTTGAGTCTCGGCGTCTTCATCTCTAAACAACGATGATGACCTACTCCTCAGGATTACTGCAGTAAATGAGATATGCAGGTAAAATCCCCAGCACAGAGCAAACATGCAAGGAATTACTGTAATTATAGATTTCTAATTTTAAAAGTTCTGTAAAATAATTATTCTATGCTGAAAATACTAGAGATAAAATGATGTTTGGAATTTGCTTCAAAAGAATCTCGGGGGGGGGGGGGGGCGGAGTATATAGATGAAATAAAATCAGCCATGCTTTGAAAATTATTGAAGATGAGCAATGAATACATTGGATTTATTACTGTATCTCTCTACTTTTGTATATGTTTGAAATTTTCCATAAGAGAAAGTTTATACATGTAAGTATCAAGGAAGGGAAATGCTGTAAAATGTGAATACTGATAATTTTTTTAAAGATCATATTTGGTCTAGGTCCGTGGTCGGCAAACTGCAGCTCGTGAGCCACATGTGGCTCTTTGGCCCCTTGAGTGTGGCTCTTCCTAAGCCTTAGGAGTACCCTAATTAACTTAATAACAATGTACCTACCTATATAGTTTAAGTTGAAAAATTGGGCTCTCAAAAGAAATTTCAATCGTTGTACTGTTGATATTTAGCTCTGCTGACTAATGAGTTTGCCGACCACTGGTCTAGGTGATTGAACAAAAGGAAAATAAATTGAAGGGGAAAAAAACACATAAAGCCAACATCTCTATTAGTTTCTCAAACGAAGAATTGTTTGCTTTGAACAGAACGGCCTCAGATGAGAAGGGAACACAGCCATTTGCACGGGGTCTCTGCCTTCACGTTTGGTTGAAGAACCCATCCTGCTTGGGCTGCGGGCCTTTTAGGTAGACGGCCCTGCGTGGCAGACCCATCTCTGAGCTCCCCAGAGGCCCTGTTGAGACAGGACTGAGGAACAAGAAAGTTCCTGTGTTGGGAAAAGCAACCATGAGCTCAAAATGTCCAGGGACAAGGATGTCCCCGTCCTCCTCTCTTCTAAGCCCTGGCTTTGGGCTCTTACTTGAGGCTTCCTATAGAGGCTGATTCAGCTCAGCCTGAGGCTGTATTTAAAGTACTTTCACACCAGATGAACGTGTTAGATGTCACTTGAGGAAAAGAATAAGTTCAAGGGAAAGAGAGCTTTTAAGAGGCTCTGACAATACCAATCACAGACATCCCCATGCCATCTCTCCCTTCCACCTCTTCCCACTGAGAGAAGTCCAGAGACTACAGAACAAAATTCTCCCATTTCACCAACCACTCCGTGCCCCTCTAGCTGAGAGAGAAAATAGTCCAACAAGCTTTGTTTTGAGCAAATGCCTTTAAGCTCCCAAGCTCTGCCCGGGAAAGAGAATATTTAAAGTACTTACTCTTCTTGAAGAATAAAGTCACTGTTTTCTGGAGAAAACTGCCCACTCACAGGATGCCTGAACGCTGTGGTCTGCTGGTTATGGCTAAAGAGAGAGAGAAGGAGATAATGAAGGAAAAGTCATATGAATGAAAAGGATTATAGACACAACAACAGGTTGGGAATGTCTGAGGACCCCTGATCATCACAGATGCCTCCCAGGGTGAGAAAGTGGGCCTTTCTGCTGAGAGGCACTGAATCTTTTACAACCCAGCTGTATTCAAAAGCCAAGAACTTCCAGCTGAGCCCTAGCCAGGTAGCTCAGTTGGTTACAGCACTGTCCCAATACACCAAGGTTGCAGGTTCGATCCCCAGTCGGGGCACATGCAAGAATCAACCAATGAATGTATAAATAAATGGAACAACAAATCTATGTTCCTCTCTTCTCTCTTTCTCTCTCTCCCCTCCCTCCCTCTCTAAAATCAATTAATAAATAAAAATGCTTTAAAATAAAAAAAGAACTTCTAGCTCAGGTGCTAGAGGCCACCTACGACGCAGGGATTTTAATTCTAGGGATGTCTTGGCTCCAGGAGAGAACTGCATCTTAGAGAGACATTCCACGAAGCACCGACTCCAACAAACGGAGCAGCTTAGCAAAAAGTTGCTTTAAGACGGCACGAGCTAAAACAAGAATGAAGGAAAGCAGACGGCCCTTCCAAAACCCATGAACCAGGGAAAGAATTCTAAGAATTAACCACCCACCCAGGAAAAAAACAACTATCTTCTTAAAATTCTTCTCCCTACTACAGAATGTCTTCACTTCAGTGACGGATATAAATGTATGGGCATGTCTCTGCAACATGACCTGTGCAATTTCAACACTGCAGAGTTCCCACCACCCTTTTGAAGTTAGGAGGGATCAGCTTCCACGCCAAGCTGACAGGCACAACCAAAGTGTGTAGGTGTTTTGTGTATCCACAAAGGCTGCCTGGTTCTTTGAAAGGAAGGAGGAGCTGGCTCTAGAGACCGCTGGTTTGTTCCCTGAATAAACTAACCTAACCTCCTTTTTAAAAGAATATGATTTGTTTGAAAATGTTTTCCCCAGTCACAAATCAATCCTTTGACAAATTTTAGAAAATATAGACAGAAAGAAGGTCACCCATGATCTCACCACCTAGACATATACCTTTGTGTGTGCTCCTTCCTAGCTTTTTAATTTTTTTCCTTCTATTATAAAAAAGCTATGATTTTACTGTATTTAGAAATCTGTATTCTACTTTTATCACATCCTGTGAACACAAAAATTTTCCTATGTCATTAACACTAGATTGCCCAAAGAAGTCATTTTGACTGCTTTTTAATTTCAATTAGAAAAACAATTATGTATATAAGGACACAATGTCTTAGAATTTTGTGACTTTTTGTACAACATATAAATGCGTTTATTAATAATTGTAGTTACCTCCCCCTCCTTCATTTCCGGTATATATATATGTGTTATACCTATATTGCCCAAAAGCAGTCATTTTGACTGCTTGGGGAAGTTTTAAATAATCAAATGACTCTTATTATTGAATTGAGTAATAACAGTTCGGCTCTGTATTGAAATAACAGTTTTCTTTTTTTTTCGATTACGTCACATGAGAACATACAAGTACATGATAAATTGTCGATACTTGATAAGTTGCAGTTGCTCAATAAGCTAAACTAGTACTTGTTATTCGAATCTTTATGCAGTGATACTTGTTCTAATAAGTTGTTTATTTTATTTCTTTTGCGCCCTAAATTCATGAAAGAAATGTCGAACAGAAGTGAGTTATTGGAAAAGCTAAGGAACATAAGTGAAGAGTGCTCCGATATTATTCTTTCACAATGCAGTCATTTTGACTGCCTTTGGGCAATATAGGTATATACTAAATTTCAGTCTTTCTAGTGTTAAGACTTCTTCATCTGAAACAGCTGAATAATAGTCTCATCATACAGATATAGTTTTTTCTCATATCACCAACTGTTCAAAAACTATTTCCTGGCCGTGTGTGTGCCAGGCTCTGCTTTAGATGCTGGAGACACAGAGCAGACAAGAGAGACCTTACCCAACAGCGCTTACGCTCTAGAAAGATGAACATTCTTCTAACGCTGGATATTTCAGGCACCCTCCCTACCCCACTGTTATAATAAACTAGAGGCCCGGTGCATGAAATTCATGCACAGGGGGTGGGGAGGGTGGTCCTCAGCCCGGCCTGCACCCTCTTGCAATCCAGGACCTCTCAGAGGATGTCCAATGGCCAGTTTAGGCCCCATTCCACCTCTCACAATCCAGGACCACTGGCTCCTAACTGCTCACCTGCCTGCCTGCCTGATCACCCCTAACCACTCTGCCTGCCTGCCTAATCACTCCTAACTGCTTGCCTGCCTGCCTGATTGCCCCTAACTGCCTCTGCCTCGTCCCCCACCATGGCGGTTTTGTCCGGAAGGACATCCGGAAGGTCGTTCGGCCGTCCGCTCCAATTAGCATATTACGCTTTTATTATTCTAGATACATCTTTGAGTATAGGCTTTTTCTGCAATTCAAATGATTTCCTTGGCTTAAAGTCCTAGGGGTAAGATGACCAGAGCATGGTCATGTTTTAAGGCTCCTAACACAGATGGTTAACATGTTTTCACTGTCAGAGTCCAGCCATCATCTCAGTTTGTTGGTATTTAAGTGTTAGCCTCACCTCCAAATTGCGCACTGAGCCATCTAGTAGATTTAAATGAGTATAGCATAAAGGTTTAAAAAGAAAAAAATCTCTAGGCTTACAAAGTTTTTCTTACTCTGCCCTGGAGCCTGGTCAGAGCACCCTGTGTTCTGGTGTCTGGGGTGAGCTGGCACCGAGGCTAGAGCAGCCTGACTCCCAATAAGCCAAACGTGCAGCAGGCAGAGCCAGGTTTTCCCTGGTCCCAGCACCCTCTCACCCCTCCCCACCACTGCCAGCCTCAGACTCCCAGCTCCTGGTTCTAGGCAAGTTCTATATGCCCTCATTTGGCAGGCAGCATCCTGGTCTTTCCAAGACATGAGCATCTGGATAAGGGTGGGAAGCAGGCTCCCTTAACAACTGTTTCAGAAATCCTTGTACCACGTTCAAGGGTTGAGCTTTATTTACACCCAGCTCCTTCAAGAGAGGCATCTCCATTCACCAGGGAACCTAGAAACACAAGCTCTAATCTAAGTCTGCCTCCTTTCCACCTGCAGGAGAAAAAGGCCCTGCTCATAGTGGGAATGACAATAAAGCAACACCCTTACCACTATCCACTCTCATTGCTTAAGGGTTCTCCAGTCCTAAAGTCTTCCCTTACACATCTCAGCTATTAACACCGGCCACCCCATCTTATGAATGAGGAAAGGGCTCAGAGAGGTTAAGTGACTTGTTTAAGATAACTCCATCAATCAGTGACAAGACTGGGACATGAGTCCAGGTCTTCTATTTCTAAATGGCATTCTCTTTGCATGATAACCTGCTGTCCCCTTCCCTTAGGGGCCTGTGGGGCTGGAAGCTTCCTGGCTGGTGACAGAAATCCCTAAAGACAAGGCAACAGAAAAATAGCACCATCCACTGCTCTCCCTGCCCCTCCCTCCCTCCCTCCTTCACTCTCTGTCTCCCCTGTGCCAGGGCCAGGGTCTGACTGACAACACCAATGTGACTCTCAGTAACTCCCAAACAGCCTCTGGTCCTATCACAAGGTCAACTGGGTGGAACTCTGGTGGAATCAGGCAAAGAGCGAATCTTCTATGTACTTGGAGCAGCATCCAGCATCAGCAACCACTTCACATACTAATACACCACACAACCTTAGTAGCAACTCCTGGGCTCCCCACACCCAACCTGTACAAGCTTGACAAAGCCCAGAGTCTTGGGTAAGTAAATCCTGAGCTGAATGGCGTAGGCACTAAGATGAAGTTCACTGGTACATTCTAACATTAGAAGAAAGGCAGTTTTTAAAAGTGGACAAAAACACAGCTGTCATTGCACCAAATGTAGAGGTAGCTTCCTAAAGTTTCCTCCCTAATATGAATGCTGCCCTTTTTGCCAAAAAAAAAAAAGGTATCAACCACAGCATCATTAGCATCATTTCCTGCATTTACATGAAGCCTTAAGTGTAGTCACATTTGTCACCGCATTGGACCCTCCCAAGTACCCACTGAGTTAGGCAAAGCAGGCATTTTTATCCCCATGTTACACAATAGGAAACAGGATTTGGGTTATGGGATGGTATTGAACACTAAATTTAAAGAGAAAAAAAGAGACTCATATATTGAGAAAAGAGATGAACCAAAGTAATGCCTCTGAAATACTGTTTAACATTTGATCATGTCTGATCAGACTCACCCAACTTGCTAATGGCAAAGCTTCTGGTTCAGCATTTTTAGAGCAAAGGAGGAAAATTTAGGTCCTTAGACTGTTTTATTTCATTTAATCTTCCCAAGTATCCTGTAGGGCAAGCTGTGTCTCATCACACCACGCCATGGATGAGGAAAGGGAGGCCCGAAAAGGGTAGATGACTTGCCCACAAGGACAGTCAACTCCTGCGTTCCTGCATCTCGGTCAACCTCCTCCTGATCTCTTTCTGCTACTCCAGACTCACCCTTACCAAACCAAGGCTGCCTATTAAATGCTGGAGCCCTCCACCCATCTGGAGATTGCCAAGTATTCTCACCTTTCCTGCTGTCTCCCTACCCCTTACCCCAAAAGCACCCCTCCTGCTCATTTCCTGATTTTCTAAAACTCATGTAGGATCTCATGTACTATAACCCTGTTGCAGGACATATTTAGCAGGCACAGACAAATCCCCCGAAATACCTGTTCTTAAACCTGAATTGCCACCTTGCTCCTTGGTAGTGATGGAGATGGCCCGGCTAGAAGCCAGGCGGCTGGTCTCAGGGAGCACAGAAACTCTCTCTCCTCCATACAAGGGCTCCAGTTTCTCTTTAGGCCCCTGAGAAAGTAACTTGGCAAATGAGGCCAAACATAGCCTTAGCCTTTATCACACTCTTCTCCCAGGAACAGCCCCTCCACGCTGAACAGCAGCCAGTCTCGCCTGGGAGAGGACCAGGTAGCAGGGATGAAGGTGGCAGGGAAGGATGATCCCCGAGAAGGCGGGCCACAGGTAACCGTCCACATAAATCAGCACGTTGTCACAGGCCCCGGGCTGGGAAGGGCTAGGGTGAGGCCCTAAAGAAGCCCGACAGCAAACACAAAAGAGAAGAGAGTGAGGACCAGGGAGAAGTGGAGACCGGCTTGAGCTCAATGTAAGGAAGAGCCCACCTGCAGCCACAGACAGGACCCGTCCAAATGCACATGGGTCCTGTAGTTTCTTGCAACGTTTTTGCAAGACTGATTTTCCAGGCATATAGGTTTTGACTACAAGGTGAGCAGTGACTCTGGCTGGTTAAGCCTAAAGGTTCCAATTCCTTGGCATGGCAATTTTGGGGGCATGGCAAGAAGCTGTGGAGTTATGTGAACGGTGCTGGGGAATGGAGGTCAGAGTCCCCCGGTGAATCTGGCTTTCTGACAGCGGTGGTATTGGAACGCTGAGAGTGCGGCAAAGATTTAGCTCTCACCGGGCCCATGTTATTAAGAGAAGAAAGGGTTTCAGATGTAAGAAAAGCTTCCAGCCTCAAGCCTCAGGAAGAACTCTATCAAGGCTCTTCCCATTGGCGTGCTCAGCAGCATGTGCCACTCTGGACCTCCTGGCTCCTCAGTGTGGCTCCCAGAATACTGCAGAAGAGTCACCACTGAAGCTACTTTCAGCACTGCCTCCAGGCTAGTTAAGGCACTTACTATCTTTGTTCCAAATCCCAGTGACTCAAGAAAACCAAGGATTCTGGGTAACTTAATGTACTCTTAGGTCCCAAAATCAGTAACTGAAACTCCAAGAACAAAACGAACTGCCTCCCCATCTTCTTCCGTTTCCACTTGGGCCACAGAGTCAAGAGATACAGCAGCCAACGGTTGAAACAGCTTTCCACATTTCTTAAGCTCCTTTTGTTTTATTTTACTTAACACTTTTACAAAATTGCTTGTTTAGTGCAGTGTCAGCGTGGTTCATGTGGCATTTCCTGAGAATCTTACCCAAGTGGTCTTTGGAACTCACACTATTTTGAAAACGTCAAGATTTTCAACAGCTCGCTGCACACGGGAGTTAACTCTGACAGGCCCTTCTTCCAGAAGCATGGGAATCAGGCCTTGATGAGCCAACATATGGTCCCCATACTCTCTCCAAGTGGAAACACAATGCTAACCAGCCTCCTTCAATATCTGCCCTGAGCAACAAGTCAGCCCAGAGCCTTGGGGTCAGAAGATCTGGGTTCAAACCAGAGCAAGCCGCTTCACCTCTCAGCCTCAGCGCTTCCATTTGCAAATAAAGAATAATAATATCTGCCTGGCCGGCGTGGCTCAGTGATTGAGCATTAACTTATGAACCAGGAGGTCACAGTTCCATTCCTGGTCAGGTCACAGGCCCGGGTTGCAGGCTCAATCCCCAGTGTGAGGTGTGTAGGAGGCAGCTAATCAATGATTCTCTCTCATCATTGATGTTTCTATTTCTCCCTCTCCCTCTCCCTCTCCCTTCTTCTCTGAAATCAATAAAAATATATTTTTAAAAAAGAATAATAATATCCTCCTAAAAGGTTGTTGTCAGGATAAAATGAGGAAATATACATTAAAGAGCCTCGCACAATGCCTGACATACAGAAGGTATGCAATGAACATTTGCTAAACCTGACTGTACCTTGGTTATGGTGATGACTACTGGTGTCTACATTTTAACAGGGCAAAAATAGAATGAGCCTCCTCTCCCCACTCCCGCCAAACCTGATACTCCTCCTCCAGGCGTCCTTATTTCCATTAACAGCATCAGTCCAAGCTTTTTACCTTGACTTAGAACAGTGGTTCTCAACCTGTGGGTCGCGACCCCTATGGGGGTCGAACGACCCTTTCACAGGGGTCGCCTAAAACCATCGGAAAACACATATATAATTACATATTGTTTTTGTGATTAATCACTATGCTTTAATTTATAACAATGAAATTGGGGGTCACCACAACATGAGGAACTGTATTAAAGCGTCGAGGCATTAGGAAGGTTGAGAACCACTGGCTTAGACGATCCTAGATGACTTGACCCCTGCCTAGCTCCACCTCTTATTGTACCGCTCTCTTCCTTCCCCAGTCACACTGACCTCCTTTCTGCTCCTTGAATGCCAAGCTCTTTCCTACTTAGCAACCTTTGTACCAGCCGCTGTCCTTTCAGCCTGGATGCTCTTTCCTCCCCTCTCCTGACTGGTTCCTTGTCATTCAGACCTCAGCAGAATCATCACCATCTCAGAGCCCTTCCCAACCACCCACTGAAGTAGGCTCCCAGTCATGTCACAGCACATCACCCTACTTTAATTATTACTAACTGTTATTTTTCTTACTTATAAATGTTTTTGCTATTATCAGCCTCCCTGACTAATGTGTGGTCCAGGAAAGCCAGGACCTTGTCTGTTTTTTCACTGCTATCATCAGTCTATAGCAGCGGGTAGCACTATTATAACTGTTGAATGAATGAGTGAGAAATGACTAAGGAGACTCCCACCTTAAAGTGAGGCCATGCCTCCCAATAGGCTTGCTAACCCTACAAAAGTCTGGACTCAGGTAACAAAGAGACAAGAACCTAAAAGGTCAGAAGCCACAGAAGGCAGTGGCTTTCAGCTCTGACTGCCAGAGGAAGGAACAAGGAGACACTGACATGCCAAGAACGCTTCGTCCTTGGCTCTCTCCCAACTGTTAACAATATAATTTGGAGAAATTAGCCCTCCTCTGCAACATCCCCCACCTCTGCCAGGGAAAGCTAGTACCCTCGGAGAGAATCAAAGAACGGAATGCAAACACCAGAGCGGAAATTACTGAGTGATTAAAAACACATAGGAGGATAATACAAACATTACCTGGATCTCCCTTTGGTGAACTGGGAGAGAGTATTTGGTGTGAAACCTACAATTTAGTGACTGATTATATACTCTCTCATAATGCTCTCTACTTATTTCAGGTGTGTTTGTTCTCCTCGCCTCTCCCCTATCTCCAGCAAGATCCTCAGTGCCCGGAGGGCCGGGAGCAGTCCTTCCCTTGTTTCTCCTGTCTCTCCTGCAGCACAGCAGTGATACCATGGAGCAGGCACTTGAACTCCTTTATCTCAACAGCCAGAGCACAAACACACATGGCCTTCAGGGAGAGGCTGTGCAGAACCCATCTCACTTTCTGATGTCAGCAGCCCCGACCTATCAGATTCCTCAGAGAGAGCGGGCAAGGCAGGGGCCCACGGGCCCCGATAAAGGACCCTACACCCAGGCTGAGACTCCACCAGCCTTGGGTGCATGACGCAGACCAAGGAAAAGCCTTCCCTTCTCCCACCACACCTGACTCAGTCGCACACCCAACTAGGCAGACACTGAAATCCAGCCAAACCCCAGACCCACCACCTGGAGGGCCAGTCTGTAACTGTTCTTCTCACCCAGAGGTGCCAAAAGAGGCAGAGCCTGGCACAGACGGCGCGTAAGAGAGTTGCAAAATTAACTGAGATAACGTAAAGCTCTCACATCTTGCAAAGAGGGAAGTTCTGTCCTTTCCAGACTCTGAATTCAACAGAGGGAAGGCATCAGCATGACTGAGAAAGCCCTCTATTGCACTAGGCTCTCCAGGTGTTTCAGATCCACTCTATGGCCAACAAAGTTCCTAAATCACCCCTCCTGACCAGTGACCATGCTGCAAACCCGTCTGCTTCCCGAGTTCCCACATGGGGCCCCGGTACTTAGGGTTGCTACTTGTTAATAGGATGTTTTAATTATAGCTTCATAGGACCTTGATAATCACGAAAAGATTAAAGGCAAACGCCTGATAGAATGAGGAAATCAAACCCAGATAGCCTCCCCTTTCCTAATTCTCTTTTTTAAAAGTGTCAGGGAAGCAACGTAATAGGAGCTGAGGTACAGCTTAATTACTACCAAACCAGTCCCAGCCCCTAAAGGGGTCCTGGGGGAGAGGCCACCGGAGGCCTGCAGAGCATGAACCCCCAGACCAGTCAGTCATGGAGACTGGAGTTCAAATCCCAGCTCTGCCATACACTGGCTGTGTAGGACCCTGAAGGAGTTAGTGATCTTTCTGAGAGTTGGTTTCTTTATCTGAAAAACAGAGAAGACCATTGCAACCTGACAAGACTGTTGTGAAGAGTGCCGATAATGTGTCTGGCCTACAGCAAACACTCAATCTTCAGTGCCTGTTAGGTTTTTCTTATGCTAGCTCTGAAACTCTTCTCTAATCGAGTTGTTTTATCTGCTTCCACGTTGCCAGCTCCAGTATCATTAGCCCTCCACAGAACAGCAGCTCAAGAACACATTCTTCCTTTTGAGTTAAGGCACGACACAAGCCTCCTGTTTAAACTTCTATTTAAAGAACTCGCCTGCCAGGCAAAGTAGTGTAAGATCAAGAGGCGCCTTCCTTCAGCCATACGTCTGTCCCTCGCTGGGTTGAGGCCCATGGTTCGGAAAGTGTGGCCCAAGAAGAAAAGCCTTCCACCAGGCTGTGCTCAGCTAGGAACGCACACCCTAGAGAAGTTTTAAAACTGCACAGGAAGCATGTTCGATCTCAGAGAACACCCAGTTTTATGCTTCTGTTTAATACTCTTCAGTAAGTGAGGTTCGTTAAGTGTAAAGTGAGAAGGCTGGACCAGGCGATCTTCTAGCTACAACGTCTGAAGGTGCTGAGGTTCATCTCCGGCTCCTGCCGGAGCCACAGACCGAGATGTGACAGCACTGCACATACGTGAAAACAAAGGAACCAGGCGGGCAGTGTCCTCCCCAGTGTCACTTGCCAACAGAATATCCTTTGTAACGACATCAGGGAGGAGCAGCTAATGATACTTTTGTCCTACTTATTCCCAATTAAAGCAGAGTATTGTTTTTTAACTGTAGGCACTCCCAACTAAAGCCACAGAAAACTCCCTTTCTCTCCGTCATGACTTGGGTTTTCATGACTCGGACTACATCGCAGCAAACCGAATCCTTAAGAAACCAGTACAGGACTAACCTGCTCTCCTGTTCTCGCTGGGGAAGGCAGCAGACACACTCTTTCCTTGAGCTTCATGTTGGCCTGATGAAAACCCCAGTCCAGGTCAGACATGCGGGGAGGACCTGGGCATCTGCAGAGGTAAAGCGCGAGCTCCCAGTCCACCTGCTTGCTTTCGATTTCGGTTCTGGAGCAGCTGCCTCCCAAGGTGTTACAAATCTAGCAGCCACTTGCTCCTACTCATTCATTCTATTTCCTCCCCGCCCCTGATGCAAAATCTGGCAACGGTGCAGGAACACAGTTCCAGCTCTGAGTCACCGCCCCACGTGGCCCAGCGGAGTGCTGCTGGGGGTGAACTGCGAGGCAGGTGCTGTGTGTCTCCAGCCTTGATTCTTCCGTTCTTTGAGGCTCGGGTTGGCTGTCCCTCTAGAAATAGGACATACGAAACACCCCCACCTAACAAGCTCTGGAGTCAGAAGGAATTGCTCGGTTCTGCCACACTGGCTGAAATCGACCCCACGGCAGAGCCTTTGATGGAGAAATGATGGCTCCCATATCACTACAGGTGTAGCCCCCTTTTCGAAAGGTCAAGTTACACCTCTCACTTTCATGAAAGGCCGACATTAATGAGTACCTGTTTTTGGTAACTGAAAGAAATCCAAAGAGGATGTTCGCTTCTACGGAAAAAGGTGAGAAGCAAAAATAGCGTTCAGCATTTGTTTTGCAGGGAGCTGTTGCAAAGGCAGCACGCACCCCAAATGAGAGCCTGTGCTTTATCTCGACTTACATTGTGCATTGCTGCTTTTACTATATGGTAGTGCTATTTTAGATTTTATGAGTTATTTGGTATGATTTGATAAGTTTTTTTGGGAGTCTTGGAACATCCCCAAAATTTCCCACAAAAATTAATGGTAATTACTTCACTTTACGCTATTTCATCTTATGAAAAGTTTCATAAGAAAGCTCTACTTTCAGAGAGCAGGGGAAACCTGTATTTCACACAGTGAGGGCCAGGAAAGGTCGAGCAGTTAAAAGCCATTGTACCTACTCCCCCTCGTAACAATCTATGGCTCTTTCGTCACTGTTTGGGATGGTTAAGGTCCAATCAGCATCGATTTAACCCTGTGGCTCTCATTCCCAGAAAAGGCCTGGAAAGGAGAAAGTGAGAGGGATCAGAAGGTGAAACTAAGAAACCAAAATGCCTTTACTGCCTGTGGCTTTATCGCCACAGCCTAATATCAACACTGTGGCTCTGTGCAACCTAGGTCTAGATCAGGGGTGGGCAACCTTTTTGTGAGTGCGTGCCAAAACCAACAAAATCTCTGACTCAAAATTCTTCTGCGTGCCAACCCTAATTTTTTGAGAACATGTTACGCCTACTTGATATCTCTTAAGGTGTACATATGTGAAGAACCTTGAAGAAATAATAAAATTCATTCGAGCGACAAAAACACAGTATATGATGATAAAAAATACATTTATTTTTAATGTATACATGTACACTGATAGTCCGACAGAAAACTGTATGGCTCCGTTTGATATTATCAGTGGGACTTTTGCTGCTGCATCACTGATGACAGAGATTTTACATCAGGTTTATATTCGTGACCTTCAGAGATATGCACGAGCTACTACTTTCATCCGTCAGCTACTCCTATTACGAGACTTAACAAAATTCATCACTAAGAACAAAGATTCACAAGCGTATGTGGATGAAACCAAAACACTGGTCGGATCTAGGAAGGCAGGGAGAGTTAAGGCAGAGGCATAGAAATTGCTCTTCCCCTCTCGTCAATCCATGTTTATGGTCTTTAAGATAACTTGTTATGTAAAATTATTTATTTATCTAAGATGCACCTACAGTGAATTTATCTGAAAAATAAAAAAGTCGATATTAAGAAAAAAATTGTAAATGGAAGATTATAAGAAAGGGTTTCGTGTGCAGGAAAAGTTACTGGCGTGCCATGTTTGGCAGGCGTGCCAGGGGTTGCCCACCCCTGCTAGATGCAAGCACCACGCAGATTTCACAGCTACATTCCAGTGCTTACATAGTGCCTAGCACACAGCAGGTGCTCAATGAATATCTGTTGAATGAAAAAAAACAATACAGGCAAATTTTATTGAGTCTACTTGGAATGACAAGTTTACTAAAACCTGTACCAGCATTTTTTCCCCCTTTAGAAATCTCCACATCCTTCATAACTCCTACTACTGCCTGTAGTGAATGTTCTACCAGTCTCTAAATGCTCAGATGACTTGCTGTGAAACTAATAAAGCTCAAATTCTAAGGCCCCTCACTTTCACAAGCCCCGTCTAAGGCCTCCAGAAGGGCCCTAGCAATGTGTTGGCATACTTTCTACAATTTTATACATTTTAAAAGAAGTCCTTCCAAAACATAGAAACATCAAGCGCCACAAAATATAGATCTGCCATAGCAAGATGATCACGTGCCATCCTGACATGTCAGCCGAACAACACTTGTTTTAGCCATGGAGGAGATATCCCCAGCCTGCAGACACATCCTCCTCAATCACAAGTCCATTGCTGTAAAGACTGGAGTAGGGTTGAGAACACAAACTCCATTCGTCCAACATGTAGTCAGCCCTATTATGGGCTTAATACTCAGTGCTTTGGGGTAAAACAATGTTTAGAACATAATTATCCCCACTGAACAGGAACTTACAATCCAATAGACTAGACCAGTGGTGCTCAACCTTGGCTGCACATTAGAATCACCTGGGAATCTTTTTAAAATCCTGATTTCTGGGCCTCATCCTCCAGAAATTCTGTTTCTTTGTTATGGGGTGGGACCACAACATTAGTAACAAAGAAACAGAATTTCCGGAGGATGAGGCCCAGAAATCAGGATTTTAAAAAGATTCCCAGGTGATTCTAATGTGCAGCCAAGGTTGAGAACCACTGGACTAGATGGACATGGCCATATATAGATACAAATAAATATGTATTTTACATATTGAACATAAATACAGGGGTGGGCAAAAGTAAGTTTACAGTCGTGAGTACGCAAATCAGAGTATATTCTTGTATTATTATATTGTATTATTTTCCATATGAACAAGTGTAAACCTACCTTTGCCCACCCTTGTAATATCAATATACATAACTACAGATCAGAGGTGTCATAATAGAAAAGTAAAGCAAGGCACACCTACTTGCTGAGTATCAATCTGTTAGCTACAACAACCCTAGAAGTATATCATTTTACCTTCATTTACAAACGAGGGCATTGAGGCCCAAAGGAGTCAAGTGCCTTCCCAAGGTCACATAACCAGTAAGTGGCAAGGTCAAAATTCACGCCCAGATCTGCCTGACTCCAAAGTGTGGGCTTGTTTATAGTGACTACACTTCAGCCAGTGGCCAGTTGCCCTATAGAACCTCCAAAATGTCTGGGGAGACGTGCTGGTTTCAGGGGTACAGGAACCACATTTTGCACCAGCAGAGGTCAGAAGCTTCCAAAGCCCACACGCCTGGGAGTGGAGGAACAGAAAGTGCCATGAGCTTACTCATCAGGTGTATAGGCATTACCTTTGTTCACCAAGCCACACCCTAGCAGGAATGGGTGACAGCTACCCGGGAGCCAGAAGAGGCCATGTGAGAGGCTCCCGCCCTGCGGCCCTGCCTCCAAACTTCCTGGTCCCTGCTGCCGAGTCAGTCATGCTGGGGCACAGCTCTCAGTCCACTGTCTCTGTCACACACCCGGTCTGGCTCCTACAGCCTCCTTATCTCTCACCACCTCCCTAAACCCTTGGCTCCTGCCATACTTAATTATTCACGAGTCCCCAACTCACCCTGTCTTCCTGCCTCTGGGATTGGGCTCCTGCTATCCTTTTTCCTAATGAAGTCTGCCCACCCAGCCAGTGTGGCTCAGTGGTTGAGTGTCGATCCATGAACCAAGAGGTCACCAGTTCGATTCTCAGTGGGGGTACATGCTCCGGTTGTGGACTCAGTCCCCAGTAGGGGGCATGCAGGAGGCAGGTAGGTGATCAAAGTTTCTCTCTCATCGATGTTTCTATCTCTCTATCCCTCTCCCTTTCTCTCTAAAATCAATAAATAAAATATAAAAAAATAATTTAAAAATTCTGCTCAGCCTTCAAGGCCCCTTCTCTTCCCAGTGGTCCTTCTCGATCACTTCAGGCTGCTCTGCTTTTCTTTGTCCTCTTACACTCAGCATGGAAGGCTTACACTGTCCATACAGCAACACTTCCCACCAACTGTTTTCATTTTACCCCCCAAAAACGAAGCACTACGTGTTATAGAAGGGCACAAACTAAGAAAGCAGAAGCTCCTTTCTTGCCTCCAATTCAGTGTCCATCTCAGAGGCAATGCCTTTATGTTTCTTGTGAAATTTTTATGCATTTAAAATTTTATCTATACATCTTTTTGAGAAAAAAAAATTATTTAAATAAAATAAAACTATATATTATTCTACCACTTGCTTGTTACTTTACATATCTTAGATTCTTCCACGTCTGTATGCAAGGATGAACAGAGCAGCCTCCTGCACACACAGCTCTGCCAGGACCCCCAGACCAGACCAACCAGAGGGAGATGACCTGGGAGCCCATCCCAGGTACTAATCTTCATCAACATGTGTCAGAGATTTCAAATTGATATACGGGAAGGGGGGAGTGTCCCAAAAATTAGTTTTATTTGAGCCAAAGTTTAAAAATAGGAAAAGTTCATATAAAAATCCAGCTTATCTTGGAAAAATGACAACTGTGGCAACACTGGGACCCCAGGAGAGGTGGAATGGCACCTTCAGTTCACCTCAGTCCCCACCACTCCCTACTGCTTCCCACTGGTGAGGGTGTACGCCTCGTGCTATTTATCATCACACTTGCCTTTCTGATTTTCTTACCGAAGAGAAATTTCTTTGCATCCGATCTCAATCAGAATTGGGAAAACAAAAGATAAACAGGGTGAGCTGCGCATTCCAAAAACAAACTGGAGATCATCAACACAGTCTGCTTTTCTGTACAGACATCAGGGTTTGCAACCCCTGTCTTATACCAACACCATCTTTTAAAAATAACTGCTTGTGACAGGTATTCAGGAAGGTTCTTTAAAAAGCCCACAAGTACCAGATGATGAGACCTGAATGATATTGTATTATCCCCCCCCGCACCCCCCACAACAATGGCATAGGACATAGTGTATTCATTCATTGATGTAACAACATTTGAGAGCCAACCAGACGCCAATCA